TTGTCAGAAGTCTAGACAAAAAGTCGCCTCGAGGTCTAAGCACCTCTACCTAGTAGACAATTGGAGCCAAATGGGTTCCCATCTTCTTGTGGCCCAAGCGCTGTAGTATTTAAGTCCTTGGACCCTGGGTCACATGGTACTACAGTCAACGTTTCCTACATAGTTTAATGGACATGTTTTCCTATCAGGCGCTTTGTCAATTCTGTCACCCACCCTGTACCATGAATATACAAGGAACCCAGGCTGAGGCGCTCGTAATGATGGAGGCGATCTTAGGGTTTAGGGTTTAGGGGCGAGGGTTTAGGGTTTAGGGTTAGGGGCTAGGGTTTAAGGGTTAGGGTTTAGGGGTTAGCGTTTAAGGTTTAGGGTTTAGATAACCACCTTGTATAGCAAACACTGCATGAACTACAACCGCTTTGGGGGTTTCTGGATAGTGCAGGATATCCTCCACAGACTGTCGTGTTGCAAAACAACATTGCCTGCGAAGGGCCCCTGCCAATTACCGCGCCCAAGAGCTGCTTGCCTGCACCAGTGTTTGAACAAGGCAACGCCCTCGTACTGATGTCTAACACCTCCCCATCCCCTATCGGCTACTATTCCCCTGTAAAAGACCTCAAAAAATTGAAGTTTGGTCATGTTTGGGGTGAATATGGGTGAATAATATGAGGCAATTGTTTATCCTTTTTCTGCAGGACTACAATCCAAGGAGAATGTAGTCATACTTGCTCTATATTGAAGACGATTTTACCTCTGTTTAAATATGCTGCTCTTTCAGCTTTCTGAGAATTGTGGGGTGACCCGTGCTGGGAATACAAAGAGATTGTGGGGTCCCTACTGAGAATTCTACAGGGGTAACTCCTGGATTTTGCGTCCAGTTTGTGTCTTGTTTAAAAAAGTCCGATTTTAGCCTGGGAGAGTGTCCGGCTTCAGGCCTGTATTAGGGTGCTTTGGAGTTTGTGCTTATGGCTTGCTTTTTGCGCAAGAACCTTTTGCTAACGCTGCGCTCCAAAAACCGCAAACCCTAAATCCGAAATAAGGTATTACCATAGTAACCTCCCAAAGGTTACCCCCCCCCAGATTTAGAAGCCTATTAGGCCTTATTAAGCCCTATATAGTCCTTATTAGCTCCTTAAACCCTGGGGGGTTACCTTTGGCATTGTCTATTGGGTTGCTGGTAAGAAGCCTAAATTAAGTTAACAGAATACGGGTATATAGTGAATAACAGGGTGTCCTCATTATAGTAACTTACTAGCTTAAGTTTGTTAACAACACCCCAGTTTATTGGGAAGGCCTGAACTATGCCCTTGCCTACAAGGCCCCCGTCTGGTTTCGGGTTTAGGGTCTAGCAGACGGGTTCACTTCCAGGGACAGTTTTCGCGCACAAATTGCAAGCCCAGGGACTCTGGTACAGTTTTGGCTCCGAGGCCCTGACTCAAAACACTGCCTGGCATTTCGGAGCATTTCTGAAAGCACTACGGCGTGTACTCAATAGGCAGGCTTTTCAGTCCAAAGCCGTTTTGACGACGAAACGATGCGCATCTTTTAGTTGATGATTTTAGCTTCTTCCGATCTGCTCCTGCGGCAGTGTCTTCTGAAATGCTAGCCTGTTCCTGTGATTGGAAGAAATGTGGTTTGTGGACGTATCCCTCTGTCCACGAACTGTTTTTTTTCCGTAAATCCAACCTTCGGACCAGTAGGCCAAGGTACTGAACTAATTTGCTATTTATTTGTTATTTTTGCCCATTAACCCAAGCTGCGGCCCAGACCAAGGGTGTGAGGAGTTCTGAACTACTTTTTCATTGTCCTGGAGACTTACTCTTGCAAGTTTGCAACAGTTGAGGCCCCCACTTTTCCTGAAGATGTTATTTTGTATGTTTTCACCTGTTGCTACCCTTGCTTTTCTGGAGGATTTCGTCTTATTAGTCTTCAGCAGTTAAGGCTGCTAATTTTCCAGAGGAGGCGCTCTCAGCTTGGATTTTCACCTACAGGGTCGCTAAGTTGAGTTTAGATGTTCTAAAATAGGTTCCCTACGTTGAATCTGGGTTTTGAAATATGGGGGTTCCTCCTTTTCCTTTTTCATCTTGAAATGCACACAGGTTGCCTGGTTTGAGTTTCGATTTTTGTCTATGGGTTCCCAACTTGAAGTTCAAACTCCCCAATATGGGGTCCCTGGCTTGTATTTCGCAATTGTCACGTATGAGGTTCCCATTCCTAGCTTGGATTCTCAAATACGGGTGTTTTATTCGTATTTTGAATTTTCGCCTATGGGGTCCCTATTTTGGAGATCAGATGTTCCAATATGGGGTCCCTACTTAAAATTTGCATTTTTGTTTACGGGTTCTCTACTCTTAGTTTGGATTGTCACCTATGGGGCCTTTATTTTGGAGTTTAGATGTTCCGGGTTCCGTACTTAAATATTAGTCTGCATTTTCACAGACGAGTCCCCTACTTTTATTTTGGATGTTCACCTCTGGGGTCCCTATTTTGGAGCTTAAATGTTCCAATGTTGGGGTCCATACTTATAGTTCGCATGTTCGCATATGGGGTCCTTACTTGTAGTTTGGATTTTCACCTGCGGGGTCCAAACTTTGAATTCAGATGTTTGGGGTCCCTACTTAAAACTCGCACTTTCAGATTTGGAGCCCCTATTTTCAGCTCAGATTCTCACCTATGGTCGGACAAGCGGTTTAGGGTTTAGGGATTAGGGTTTAGGGCATTGTAATGATGGGGGCTGAGCCTGACCTATCGACAGTTTTTCCGCTGTTGTGAACGGGGGCCTTGAAGCAATTGCATGCTCCTAAATTCGCAGCATGAACGGCTCGCGGATTATTCGGTTATGTTGACTGGGAGGTTTCCAAGCATCCGCGGCCCATTTTCCGTACAAGGATCTGCCGCTACCATCGCTTTACGCTATTCCCCCCTGAGCCCTGGATTGCAAATAGGGTCTAAGTAAGTCCGTTTGCGCTTCGCCATGGCACATCGGCACCATGGCCACCGACTACGAACCTGCTTGTGCTGATTTATCCGGGAAGAATCGCAGCAAGCGGCACAACTTGAAGCAAAATAACAAAATCCAAACCCGTTCCAGCTGAAGATACAAAAAAATAACGAACCCCAGTAAATATAAAGCAAAAAACATCCCTGGAAATGAGCCCGTTGGGAGGGTTTAGGGCTAAAATAACTAGATTGCCATTTGTTGAACACAGGTTACTTCACCGATCAACTTTGTTTGCCCGGACCATGTGGTCACGAGTCCTCCCCATCAACGCTGACCTTCTCAGATGGAATTTGTGTTTAGACAAGGTAGTGGGGCAGGGAGGATATCCCCTCTCAACATGTAAGCTCAAAAGACTCTAGAAAAAAAGGCCCTTAGGTAGCTTCCTCAAATAGCGGTACCCCCATAAAATCATATGGACACCAAAATATAATGGCCTATAGGAACCCCCAAAATGGTATCCCAAACTTTGGGAACCCCTAAGCCCGAAACCCTCTATCCGTATATACCCCCTATAAACCCCTTTAAAGGATATCGCCAATCTGGAAACCCCCTTGTCAGCTGGACCCTTACGGATAGCTAGCAGTGATGTTAGTAGTAATGCGAGTATTAATATTAACAAGAATACTGTTGATAATGAAATAGCAACAACACAAAGAATAGTAGTAACAGCAGTAATAATAGTGACTATAGTACTAATAATAATAGTAATAATAATAATAATACGAAAGCACCACGAGCGGTTCAAAACTGGGGTTTTATCGGTGCGCTGCCATGAATTTTACACCAACGGAGCACGTGGTGTGTGTGATAAGGGAGCGCCTGGCTGATACGTTGCTGTGTGAAGGCTACGCTGAGGACAGTCGATTGTACGCGGACCAGCTTGCTTGTGCCTACTGGCGACACAACACGCTTGACAATATTTTGCTGGATTTGAAATTTATCCTGGATGCAGAAGATTACGCCGGAATCCTGGGTTTCTGCAAGCTGCAATATCCCATACTGTTCGCAACATTGCCATCCGCACTGGTATCTGGAGAAGCCGAAGTTCCCGGTCTTAAGCACGACACCCATGGCAGCTCTGGGATCCTTGATAGCGCCGCCAGCAGAGCAGACAGTTTCAGGGCGATTTGGCCAGCGGCGTTCGGATCCATGGTGTCGCAGCAGCAACCCCAACCAACAATGGAGTAGCTTGGACATGCAAGCAGAATCAACAGCTGAAAAGTGCCGAAAATCGGTACACTTGGGCACAGATGCTACTCTGACACAATTTTGCTCGGCCCGGTCCCAAGTCCCGGGATGCTTGAATGGTGGTGCTAAGCAATCGCAAGTTTCTGGCATAGGCGTGAGGGTTGACGGGAATTCCTCCGCACCGTCTGGAGCCATTTTGGCGAACAAGGGGGAAATTAGTCGGGCGAGCAACCGCTCGAAGGTGGGCAAACGGGCCTACCAGCGCGCGAGGCAAAGGGCTGCAAAGGCAGGCAGCACTGTGTATAAAGGGCGTATCATATACTCAACTGGACAGAGTGTTCGTGTTCCTGAGAGTCGCAAGAGCTTCAGCAGCGGGACGAGACGAGGGGTCTTTTGCTGGAACGCAGGAGGCATCTCCTCCGAGCTATATGCTGAACTCCTAAGGTATCTGGAGACAACTGGGACCATAGATATTGCGATCATTCAGGAAACACATTGGTCGACCACTGGAGAGTGGACCGCAGGGCAATGGCAGTTTATACACACTGCTTCGGAGCGCAGCCGTCAGGATGGAGTACTGGTGGCCGTTCGCAGATCGCTCCTGTCAAATCGGGAGGTCTGCTGGCAGGAGATTGTCCCTGGAAGACTTCTTAGAGTCCGAGTAGAGCTGTGCCATCAAAGCTGTGAGATACTGGGTTTGTATCAGCATGCCATGACGGCTCGCAGCGCAACTGAGAAGTCAAAGGTGATGTCTAGAAGAAAAGCTGTTTGGGGGGCTCGTGATAAGGCATTATCAAGCTTGCCTTTCAGGGCTATGTTGGTCCTTGGCGGAGACTTCAACACCAGCCTGGAGACAAGGACATCGGTGGCCGGAGGTGGGCTGGTGCAGGGACCGCAGGCGAACGACTTGGTTCAGGAGAGACAGATGGTGCTGGAGATCTTGGCCAAGCATAGGCTCACGGCGCTGAACAGCTGGGGAAAGAAGTCTCCGACGTACCTGCATCCGAGCGGGAATTCCCAAATTGACTTTCTATGCATTCGCCAGCACTCGGCGGACAAGATCAGTAGACAGACTGGACCCAAGCAAGTGGGTCTCGCGGCATGGCGGAGCGCTGGGCATGTGCCGCTGATTGGCAGTTTGCTGGCGTCGTGGCGGCCATGGAAGGGAGGCAAAGGCTGCAGCAACTCCGGAACAAGATTCTGTCCCGCTGCTCTGGGAAGGAAGCCCGAGACAGGCTTCCGCCTCTGAAGTCCGTGGACCAGCAGATCGAGTCACACTAGAAACTCCGGAAAACCCTGCGACAGCTGGGAAACGGTGTGAATCTGGTTCGAGTGGCTTCTCTGGCGATGCGAGCCGAGGCAGCTGCGCAAAAGGCGCACAGAGCACTTAAGAAGGCCTGCCGGGAGCGCAAGAAAGCTCAGCTGATGGCAGGGCTTGAGTCTGTCGAGAATGCAGCCCGAAACGGAGATAGCAAAGCTTTCTACAGTTCCACGCGTCTAGTTTCCCCGAAGCCCTATCTCCCTAAGATTAAGCTTCGTGACAAGAGTGGCGCTCTGCTTACCAGAGCTCAAGAGGGGGAGATGCTTAGTCAGTATGCCGCCGAGTTGTTCTCCGGACCTTCCACTGAGCTGCCTCCGCTACTTCCGGTTCCAGAGCATCTCCTAGATCAGCAGGCGTGGCAGTGGGCACTATACAAGCTCAAAAAGGGCAAGGCGGTTCCAAACGGCATGGCCCAAATTCTCACTTGGCAGGTGTGGTCGAGCACAGCATCGGCGAGACTCGCAGAGATCTCTCAGGCCACGCTTTGCAGTGAGCATCCGTATGTTCCGGAGTTGTGGATGCGGGTTCAGCTTGCTTGGCTGCCAAAGCCCCAAAAGGCGCCCTGCACTCCTAGTAGCTTGAGGTCAGTCGGGCTGATGGGCGCTGACACTAAAGCTCTGATGGTGCTTCTGAAGGCGTACGCGTCCCCACATGTCATGCAGTCTCTGGAGGACACGCCGCAGTTTGCATATAGGCAAGGAGTGTCCACAATTGATGCGATCTTGAGAGCTGGCAGCCACTGTCAGTACGGAGGAGGTTGGATAGTGTCGCTACATCACAAACGGCCAAACTTTTGGGCGCCGAACAGCCTGGACTAAGTGGCGGACTCATGGTCAGTCTTGATCTCGCAAAAGCCTTCGACACTTTGTGACATGGTGAGATACATGCGTCGTTGTTGTCCACTGGCATGCCTGAGTACTTGGTCAATCTGATAGTTCACGTTCATGCAAATTCTGTGAGCGAGATTGTATATGGAGAACACACTTCGGATGTTAAGATGGGGCAGGGCCTCAGACAGGGCTGTCCAATTGCACCCTTGGTGTACGCTGCTTGGACCTCTAGGCTATGCAAACTTCTTAACGAAAGACTCGGCAGAAATTGGTCGCAATCCACCCTAACTATCTTTGCTGATGACAAATTCCTTTGCTGGACAATTGGGAGTGAGCGGGACCTGGAGCAGGCGGTTCGTGAAGTTGGAGTGGTCCTGGCCACGCTGAGGGAGCTGGGCATGAAGGTGAGCAACTCAAAATCGGAGGCTGTACTTGCAGTGAAGGGCAATGAAGCGGATGCGGCTCGTAAGAGATTCGTTGTCAAATGGAACGGAGAGATGTGCCTCCGGGTCGGTAAGTCCACGAACACTGCTAACATCCCAATCAAGTCTGAGCTTGCTTACTTGGGCGTCCAGCTCTCGTACGGGAGCTACGAACTTCAGTCAGCGAAGCACCGCTGCAAACTGGCCAAGGTTGCCTTCAGCCGTCTACATCGTGTTCTTCGCACGGGAGCGGTGCTCTCCAAGGCTGCCAAGCTCAGAATATACAGGGCATGCGTTTGGCCGGTTTTAGCTTACGGGTTGCCTGGGCTGGGTTTGGATGCTAGGGCAATGGACAGCGTATGCAGCACAGCAGCCATGCACCTTCGGAAAATCCTCCGCCTATATCAACACGGCATCTCCAACATGTCTGTCTTTGAGCAAGCGGGCTTGAATCCGGAGGACGAGCTTCTAAAAAGTGTGACCGCGCAGCTCAATAAGTATGACTCAGGCGACGGCGCCACATCTTCGCAGGGGAGGCAGGAAGCTCAGAGGATTCAGACCAATCTTCAAGAGATCATTCGCAGTCGAGGCAGGGGCATACTACCCCACACCCAGACCTCGGAGATTTCGTGCCCGGTCTGCGGCTTGTACTTTGGTTCCGAGGCTGGCTTGGCGATGCACATAAAAAGCAAACACAAAACGACACATGAGGAAGCTAAGCTGCAATACATTAAGTCTCAGCATTCCCTTTTCGGCATTCCAATGTGCAAGTTCTGCCTGAAAGTCCATTGTGATTGGCAATCCTTGGAGAAACACATCACCATGGGGGACTGCATGGAAATTAAGACCGCCATTGCAAAGGGCATCACGATGGAGCAGCTGCTGGAGAACACGGAGAAGGCACAGGAATTATGCCCGCCACAGCCTCCAGAAGCTCTTAGGCATCGGGTGGAACACAAGGTTCTACTTGCTGAGGATGCGGCTATGTTCTTGGCGCAGAACTCGGAGCTAGAGGGGCATACAGAGCAAATCCGCAGTCTCTCCACACGCTGTGCCCTGTGCGGTCAGGTTGTGCTCAGTGGCACTCGAGTAAAACCACACTGGAGAAAGGCGCACCCAGCGGCATGGGCGTGGGCCTCACAAGATGCCATCAGCGAGTGCAAGAGCCTGTCCTCGATGTTTCGCAAGCCTTGTCAGTTCTGCGGAAGCCAAGCCAAGAATTCCATGGCACATGCCGGTCAGTGTCCAGCTCTCTTCCAAGTCTTGGCTGGTAGATGCTTACGGAGTCGTGGACTTCAGGAGGGCGCAGGTGCGGACTCGAAGGAGCCCAAGAAGCGCAGCAGCGAACGTATCGCAGTTTCGATGTGTGTCAAACCCCGCTTGCGAAGGCCTTCCGGAAGGGTGCTGGAGAAGGGACAAAGAGGATGCCCGACAAGGCGCCACAGGAGACGACCGATGGCAGTGGGGAGAGGGATAGTCAGCGCAGGCTGGAAGTTCGAGCCGTGCCCAAGCAGAAGAAGACAGGCCAGCTCTCCATTAGGCAAATGTTTGGGAGAGCTCGCTCTGCAGCGCCAGCAGACGAGTTGCCAGAGACGGACGAGCGCTGGCCATGGACTTTCTGTCTGAGGCTGGGCAACCCACATCAGCTTTGCTATATGAACGCGGGCATCACTTCACTGCTTCATGCATCTCAGGGAATGAGACTCGCTGAGTTGAATCACTCTGTAGGCAATACGCTGGTAGCGGTCAACTCTTGGCGCTTTCGCGTCAGCTGGTCATTAGAAGTCGTCTCCCCAGGTGGGACTTTGGACCTACTCAGAAGGATGTTTCGGAGTTCCTGCTCTCTTTTTTCTCTCAGAGGGATCTGCGTCTTGGTTTAGATGGGAGGCAAGACAAGCGAGGCGGGATTGTGCTCGGGTTGTGGACACTGCAAAACCAGTTCTTTTGGAGGCGCCGGGCCAGGCTATATGGACTCCAACGCTGGCGTTTGAGAGATGGAGCGAGGCCGCCTCGGTCCGGGCAATCTCCAGAGTCGGTAGCGTACTAATTGTGCAAATTGGGAGGTACATCAATGGCGCCAAGGACACCTCGCGGGTTGACTTGACCGCAGATGTTTTGGTTCCCGAGTTTGATGAGGGTGTTGCAGTGAGGTGGCATACGTACAGGGTTCAGGCGGTGGTCCCTCACCTTGGCGCAAGGCCCACGGCGGGACACTACAGAGCTCTTCTACGAGCGGGAGATCAGTGGGGATACTCAGATGATGGGGTGCGTGCAAGAGTTGTGGACATGGCCACAGAATTTCAGCGCAATGCATACATGCTTTTCCTGATCCGCTCCGCTCAAGCATAGGGCGATTTGTATAGGGCTTGGCCGCACGCCTTTGGGAAGGCATGACTGAGCAACTGGATCCGGCGCAGCAGCAGGAGATGGCTTTCTTTGATAGCTACATGCCAAGCGGCAAGAAGGCCATGGAGAACAAAGACTCCAAGGATGATGAGAATCCCTTGAAATACCCCAGGTCAAACGAGAAAGGCCAAGGGGGTGGAAGTGGCAAAGGCAACGATCGCAAACCAGCGCCGAGCAGCAAGGCCCATCCCAAGCAGGATGGCGGCAACGACGAAGGATGGCAAGGCTGGTGGAACCAGAACAAGGAGTCAAAATCTGGAGGCCGTATAGCCGCGCTTGAGCAGCAGGTGGCTCTTCTGTCCAAAATGTCGCTGCGACACGAAGACAGCCTTAATATGCTACGTGCTGAAGTCTCTTTCGTAGCGCGTGCGAAGATAGGCTGCGAGTCGAGCATTGTTGGAGCCTTGCATCGTGTTCAAGCTGGATGGCGAGAGCTGAAAAAGAGCCAGCCGGAGAAGCTGGACAAGCCGACGCGCTGCACGCTCATCCTGTGCCTCTTTAGAGAGGTACTCAGCAGAGTGGAGAAACTGCCGACAGACGAAAAGGCCCTGGCGGAATTTAAGGCTCACGGATGGATCTCGGAGGATCTGAACTTTTGGCCAGTGTTGGCTTGGGATGCTGAGCAGAAGAAGCTACTGCCGGTTCAATCCTCTCCAGGGCTTCCGACTGCCGTGCTGGTAGATCACTTGAAGGCTGTGAGCAGGCATTGCACAGGGGACTACGCCCTGAGCCGCTTTCACCCAGTGAGGCCGATTGCGGACACGATGACGGGGGAGAGCGTAGTCTTTCTTCTTCAAGTTGGGTTGTCGTCGGACAGTGCCACTCAGCTTGGGCTGCACCTACGAGCTCTATTCGTGAACAGCGCTTTGCAGCTTTGCGGATGCTCCCTGAAACCGGACCGAGCCCCGCGGTCAAATCTGGCCATGCAAGTTTCGAGGAACATTGGGTGATTTTCCAGGAACCCAGCGCGGACATGCTTTTTGGCCCTTGCAGGCCTACCGAAGAGTAGATCCCTGCCGTATTCATGCATGCAGCCTATAAATCGCCGGCTACTTCTGTGTTCGCTTGTGTTACATGCCGCTTTTGAGGTCTTTGGGATGCTCTCTGGCGACTCGGGCATGTTTACATGGAGGTGGTTGCAGACATGCTTGAGGAGGCTCTTGCAAGTGCGGTGCGCGCAGCGGTTTTGGCGAGGGCTCAGCATGGATCCTGCACGGAGAGCTAGAATTTTGCAACTACTGCCGCGCATGGAAAGGCCCCCTGGGGTGGAAGCAGATGAGTGGGAAGAGCTTCTCTTGCTTGAGGCGCCTTCGATCCTAGGACTGGCCATTCCGGGAGCAGAAGCGCTGGACCTGTCCGAGCCGACCTTTCCCTCTGAATCTGTTGCGGAGGAGGAGTGTCAAACTGGCAGTTTGACTGACAGCTTAGCCGGATACTCGCCATCCCCGGCGGCCAGCCCGGTGACCAGAAATGGGTTCAATCTACATGTCCCGGGGAGGAGTTTCGTCCTGAGGGTCCAGAGCCTGAACACGCCAGTGAAGTTCTTGCGCTGAGAGCGCTGCGTGATCGCTGGATATGGGAGGATGACTTGATGTGTCTGACGGAATCCCTTCCATCTAGCACCCGCAACTTTCAGGTTCCTTCACAAGGTGATGCATGGTCGTGCTCCTTCCTGACTGGTGCCTGTATCCACGGGGTCTCGGCTGGTGTCATGACCAACTCACATAGGTTTGTGAACGTAACGGTGATGGTTGCCTCAGTGCTTCAGAGCGTAGCGCCCTCTCATTGGTTCACTTCAGCGGGCATCTCCCTCAACATTCGCTCTGGTGTGCATCGCGACTCCAGCAATGCGGCTAACATACCAAACATTTTGATTCCTGCCTCAGACTTTGAGAATGGCGAAATATGGCTGGAAGACTGTGCAGGGCCTCATGACATGGATGGTTTCTTGGGCAGGTTAGTCCCGGTAACCAGGCCTTTCATTACTTTCAGTCCGAGAGTTCGTCATGCTACTTCTAGCTGGCTAGGAAACCGACTTGTGTTGATTGGATATCTCGTGCGTAATTCGGAGCTTCTCAACTCAGCAGATCACCTTGAGCTACAGCGCCTTGGATTTCGAGTGTACACTGGGCGCAGCCTCCGCTCATGCAGCTGATTGGAGAAAAGACGCCCTCCTATCGACGGTTGCTGGTTCAGTGATCGCAATACTGGCGCTGCATGCGAAGATCCATCCTGCCAGGTCCACTCCTGATTCAGTGAGTCACAGCCGCCAACACCGGTCCAGTTCAAAGCCTTGTACAGACCAGAGAAGTCATGTTTGCATTAGAGTTTGAGATGATACGCCTTTTGCCTCACAGTTGTGCTCAATTTGCAGTGGATAATGTTTTCGCCATATGGCGATGGCAAGTTGCAGGGCTGTCGGCCAGGACTTGCCTTTGCAAGCTGCTTGGTTCCTCGGAACGGGCTTGCTTTTTGCTGGTGCCCTGAAACAGGGTAGCTACCAAAGGTAGCCGGGCGGTCGTAGACACGCTTGCCGACTACGCAAAGGAGACTTTGGACTCTTGCGCCACGAAGAAGAAGTAATAATACGAATAGTCATAATATAGTAGTACTAGTAATCATAGCAACAACAGTACTAATAATCATCGTAATAGTTATGAGTAATCATTATAATCCACAAGCATGATTCGCACAACGACTGTGTCGCTGACTGGGGTCAATGACGTGGGAGTTCTCTAAGGTCACGGGGAAGGGCACCTCCACGTTCAGCGTCAGTTTTAACGGTTTTGGGTTTAGTGCCTGCAGAAAAGCATTTCTGCCAGGGAGTTTGGGACTGTACAGTACTATCTTCTTGGGGTTCCCCGTGTGGAGTTCCCATGAAAAGCCCTTCAAATAAAGGGATCATTGGATCATGCAGTCAGCGCTGCTGGCCTCAGGGTTTACGGTTGGCAGCCGTTGTTTTTAGGCACCTCGACACCCTAAACCCTCGACCCTAAGAGTGTCAAGCTGCATCTGCTGAAAGCAAGACAGAATGAGGGCCAACGAGTTAGTTCCAGGACCCTGGACGTAGGAAAGACACTCTAGCTTGATAAAGGGATGATCGCATTTACCCGCCAACCCTAAACAGCCTCAACCTGCAGTCATCCGAAAAGGATCCCTCCAAACGGGTTGAGGGTTTAGGATTTAGGGTTAGGGTCTAGGATTTAAGGTTTAGGGTCTACAAGGGTTCAGGATTTAGTGTTTAGGGTTTCGGGGTTATGTTTGTAGTTTGGGTTTAGGGTTGTAGGTGCTTTTGGAGGATTCGTTTAACTATGCATCAATGTAGCTTTGTGGTATTTACTTGGGCCTAACCTGTGGTCTCAACGTCCGTCTACGGTAAATCAGGCCAAGAGTACCGTAAACGGTATACATACGGGTCAAGCCATGATTCCTTGACACCTCTGAGACTGTGGTGCCCCTGCATCCATACTCAACTCTCCTTGACTTTTGTTTAAACCCCTCGGACTTTTGATGCCTGCACGAGGTGCAAGGGGTCCCTGCCCACTGAGTAGGACTGCTTCGAGGGTTAAGGGTTTACTCGGGAAAAACACAAAGAAATCCTTGCGCAGGCTTCTATGCGAGGTCGCATCTACACGCGCGTAGACCACAATAATTCAATAGCAGCTCTACCCGATATAAGTGGCTTAGGGTTTAGGGTTTAGGATTTCCGGAAGCCACTTTCTGGCACCCTGCCCATGGTGGGGTTGAGGGTTCCTGCACTCTCAAGAAAAAAGTCACCAACGGGTTAGGTGCAAGACCATGTTTTAAGGGTACATTGATTACTTCAGGGAATTATAGGGTTTTGGGTTTAGTTTTTACGGTTCAGGGAATAGTCCAGTTCAAAGGTCCCGAAGCAGATTTTGAACAACACACCTGGCCGAGCGATTTCAACCCTGACTCCTTGGGTTCACCTACCTTCCCCTGAAAACATCTACTGTAGGGGCCAAAGCTTTATTAAGCATTTTCCAACCTGCTTTTAACGTCTGCTTGAGGCACCCTATAGAATAAATATATGGACCCGAAGGTTTAGAGTTTAGGGTCGTAACTGAAAAACCTTGTAAGTTGAACCCCAACAACCCGAATCATTGACCCCTACAACTCTAGACCTCAACTGAACCCAAACATCCCTAAACCCTAAACCCTATATCACCAAGCCCCGAAAAGAAACCAGGCTCCGCGCTCCGAAGGCATCAGCGGTGCTCTGCAATGGGGACAGTGTGCCTGCAAGGCAACCCATACGAGTGTCAAGGCTTTGGTGTAAGGCTCGGGGCTTAGGGGCTTTGTAATGAGTTTAGGTAGGTTTTTCTAGGGCCTCTATAAGCGGTTGAGGGCTTTAGGGCTACAGGCTTTCAGGGCAGAGGTGGAGGGGGTCAGGGTTATAAGGCTTTGCGGTATCTAGGGTTTAGGATGTTAGTGTTCTTGGGGTAGAGGTTCAGGATGTAAGCTTAAGGTGCTCTAGGTTTGGGGCGACGGGCTGTTCATGAAGTGGATTCCTTCTCAAATCCGCGATGCTGCGCTCTGCACCTCGCAGGGCTTTTCTCCGTTAGAGTTTAGGGTTTAGGGGTTTGGTATTATGGACCCTGAACCCTAAAACCTCAACCCTAAAGCCCTAAACCCCTAATACAGTTCAGGGACTAGGATCTTCCAAATCACTGCTTGTCACCCTAAGCCCTAACCCAAAACCCTGGTCGTCCCTTGCATTCCTCACAAGGTTGGTGTCTCTCTTTTAGGCTGGGGCCTGCGCTGCATCCAGTTCCATGGCCTAAGGATGACCCTCAGGGTTTAGGGCTTAGGGTTTAGGGCTAGGCCCGAAACCCTCAACTTTAAACCCTAACTTCATACATGTTTGGCCTATGGGTATATCATATTAAAATTATGATGAATATATGACCCTCAACCCTAAACCACTAAACCCCAAACCCTACCCCCTAACCCCTAAACCCCTTCATCTAGAGCCCCCACGACATGAGAATGTCTCGCTCACCGCACGCAGCAGGGCCTGCCTTCCCAAGAAACAGTAGCTTTAAACAGGGGTAAGGGGTTCAGAAATGGAGTCGAGGTTTAGAGCTATAGTTTAGGTTCAGGGTTCAGTGTGTAGGGCTTTGGTTGAGGGGTTGGGGCTTAGGGATCAGGACTTTGGTTTACGGCTTAAGGTTTCAGGCTTTGGTTTAGGGTTTACGGTTTCGTGCTGTGGTCTGAGGTAGCAACCCGCCACGGGGATCTGTGCATTGGCGTGGTCTGTCTGCCTTCTGACAGGAAGTTGGCCACCCCGAAAACTCCATCCTTTCTGCAGTCGTAGAAACGAAGCCACACCCCCCAAAAAAAGCATCCCTGAAATGGAACCAGCTTAACCCCCAAGGGCTTAGAATGTCGGCTTGAAATCCTACCTTGGCCTCCCCAACACCTGGGGTAATTGCCGGCTACTCCAAATATAGGGTATGAAATATGAAGGCCGTTGTTACGGGTATTTGAAAGGTCTAGGTACACCTGTGCAGCACCCTGTAGCCGGCTCTACATGTTGAGGGGACACCTTGTCTCTAGAAGACCCTAGTGGGGTGTAGGGCTTAGGGTTTAGGGAATAGGGATGCTGAAAGCTTGAAATCTGAACTCTGCCCCTCAAACCCTAAACCCTAAACCCTCGAAACCGCAAACTTCCAAGCTTACATACACAATCGTGCGCTTGGCGTCAATTACTGTCATATATGGACTTGCATTCTAGTAGGAACCCCACTACAGGGACGCGTATTGTAATGAGTGTACAGAAGCTCCAAGACCCAAGATAATCTCTATCAGGTTCCATGTCATTTTCTGTGTTTCATTTGATTCTCCATTTATGGAGTAACCTTTCAATACACCCGAACCCTGGTCCCCCTGTACGTATATGTAGAGAGAGAGAGAGGAGAGAGAGAGA